AAGAATTTCCATCTATCGCCATAATTAATTAAAACGGGTTTGATTGTGATTTTTGTACTTTTTATTGCTTGATGAGGCTTTTCAAACCAGACAGAAAAAAATTCAACGTCAGGCGTAGCAGTTTTATTGATTCAAAAGTCTGATTTTAGACGTAAAAATTAACAATTTAGAAGAATTTTTATCGAGCGCCGTATTTAATTAAAACGGGTTTGATTGTGATTTTTGTACTTTTTATTGCTTGATGAGGCTTTTCAAACCAGACAGAAAAAAATTCACCGTCCGGCGTAGCAGTTTTATTGATTCAAAGTCTGATTTTAGACGTAAAAATTAACAATTTAGAAGAATTTCCATCGAGCGCCGTAATTAATTAAAACGGGATTGATTGTGATTTTTGTACTTTTTATTGCTTGATGAGGCTTTTCAAACCTGACTGAAAAAAATTCACCGTCCGGCGTACCAGTTTTATTGATTCAAAAGTCTGATTTTAGACGTAAAAATTAACAATTTAGAAGAATTTCCATCGAGCGCCGTAATTAATTAAAACGGGATTGATTGTGATTTTTGTGTATTTTATTGCTTGATGAAGCTTTTCAAACCAGTCTGAAAAAAATTCACCGTCCGGCGTACCAGTTTTATTGATTCAAAAGTCTGATTTTAGACGTAAAAATTATCAATTTAGAAGAATTTCCATCGAGCGCCGTAATTAATTAAAATGGGATTGATTGTGATTTTTGTGTATTTTATTGCTTGATGAAGCTTTTCAAACCAGTCTGAAAAAAATTCACCGTCCGGCGTACCAGTTTTATTGATTCAAAAGTCTGATTTTAGACGTAAAAATTATCAATTTAGAAGAATTTCCATCGAGCGCCGTAATTAATTAAAACGGGATTGATTGTGATTTTTTTACTTTTCATTGCTTGATGAGGCTTTTCAAACCAGTCAGAAAAAAATTCACCGTCCGGCGTACCAGTTTTATTGATTCAAAAGTCTGATTTTAGACGTAAAAATTATCAATTTAGAAGAAAGAAGAATTTCCATCGAGCGCCGTAATTAATTAAAACGGGATTGATTGTGATTTTTTTACTTTTCATTGCTTGATGAGGCTTTACAAACCAGTCAGAAAAAAATTCACCGTCCGGCGTACCAGTTTTATTGATTCAAAAGTCTGATTTTAGACGTAAAAATTAATAATTTAGAAGAATTTCCATCGAGCGCTGTAATTAATTAAAACGGGATTGATTGTGATTTTTGTACTTTTCATTGCTTGATGAAGCTTTTCAAACCAGTCTGAAAAAAATTCACCGTCCGGCGTACCAGTTTTATTGATTCAAAAGTCTGATTTTAGACGTAAAAATTAATAATTTAGAAGAATTTCCATCGAGCGCCGTAATTAATTAAAACGGGATTGATTGTGATTTTTTTACTTTTCATTGCTTGATGAAGCTTTTCAAACCAGTCTGAAAAAAATTCACCGTCCGGCGTACCAGTTTTATTGATTCAAAAGTCTGATTTTAGACGTAAAAATTATCAATTTAGAAGAATTTCCATCGAGCGCCGTAATTAATTAAAACGGGATTGATTGTGATTTTTGTGTATTTTATTGCTTGATGAAGCTTTTCAAACCAGTCTGAAAAAAATTCACCGTCCGGCGTACCAGTTTTATTGATTCAAAAGTCTGATTTTAGACGTAAAAATTATCAATTTAGAAGAATTTCCATCGAGCGCCGTAATTAATTAAAACGGGATTGATTGTGATTTTTTTACTTTTCATTGCTTGATGAGGCTTTTCAAACCAGTCAGAAAAAAATTCACTGTCCGGCGTTCCAGTTTTATTGATTCAAAAGTCTGATTTTAGACGTAAAAATTAATAATTTAGAAGAATTTCCATCGAGCGCCGTAATTAATTAAAACGGGATTGATTGTGATTTTTTTACTTTTCATTGCTTGATGAAGCTTTTCAAACCAGTCAGAAAAAAATTCACCGTCCGGCGTTCCAGTTTTATTGATTCAAAAGTCTGATTTTAGACGTAAAAATTAATAATTTAGAAGAATTTCCATCGAGCGCCGTAATTAATTAAAACGGGATTGATTGTGATTTTTTTACTTTTCATTGCTTGATGAGGCTTTTCAAACCAGTCAGAAAAAAATTCACCGTCCGGCGTTCCAGTTTTATTGATTCAAAAGTCTGATTTTAGACGTAAAAATTAATAATTTAGAAGAATTTCCATCGAGCGCCGTAATTAATTAAAACGGGATTGATTGTGATTTTTTTACTTTTCATTGCTTGATGAGGCTTTTCAAACCAGTCAGAAAAAAATTCACCGTCCGGCGTTCCAGTTTTATTGATTCAAAAGTCTGATTTTAGACGTAAAAATTAATAATTTAGAAGAATTTCCATCGAGCGCCGTAATTAATTAAAACGGGATTGATTGTGATTTTTTTACTTTTCATTGCTTGATGAAGCTTTTCAAACCAGTCAGAAAAAAATTCACCGTCCGGCGTTCCAGTTTTATTGATTCAAAAGTCTGATTTTAGACGTAAAAATTAATAATTTAGAAGAATTTCCATCGAGCGCCGTAATTAATTAAAACGGGATTGATTGTGATTTTTTTACTTTTCATTGCTTGATGAAGCTTTTCAAACCAGACAGAAAAAAATTCACCGTCCGGCGTACCAGTTTTATCGATTCAAAAGTCTGATTTTAGACGTAAAAATTATCAATTTAGAAGAATTTCCATCGAGCGCCGTAATTAATTAAAACGGGATTGATTGTGATTTTTTTACTTTTCATTGCTTGATGAGGCTTTTCAAACCAGTCAGAAAAAAATTCACCGTCCGGCGTTCCAGTTTTATTGATTCAAAAGTCTGATTTTAGACGTAAAAATTAATAATTTAGAAGAATTTCCATCGAGCGCCGTAATTAATTAAAACGGGATTGATTGTGATTTTTTTACTTTTCATTGCTTGATGAGGCTTTTCAAACCAGTCAGAAAAAAATTCACCGTCCGGCGTACCAGTTTTATTGATTCAAAAGTCTGATTTTAGACGTAAAAATTATCAATTTAGAAGAATTTCCATCGAGCGCCGTAATTAATTAAAACGGGATTGATTGTGATTTTTGTGTATTTTATTGCTTGATGAAGCTTTTCAAACCAGTCTGAAAAAAATTCACCGTCCGGCGTACCAGTTTTATTGATTCAAAAGTCTGATTTTAGACGTAAAAATTATCAATTTAGAAGAATTTCCATCGAGCGCCGTAATTAATTAAAACGGGATTGATTGTGATTTTTTTACTTTTCATTGCTTGATGAAGCTTTTCAAACCAGACAGAAAAAAATTCACCGTCCGGCGTACCAGTTTTATTGATTCAAAAGTCTGATTTTAGACGTAAAAATTATCAATTTAGAAGAATTTCCATCGAGCGCCGTAATTAATTAAAACGGGATTGATTGTGATTTTTTTACTTTTCATTGCTTGATGAGGCTTTTCAAACCAGTCAGAAAAAAATTCACCGTCCGGCGTTCCAGTTTTATTGATTCAAAAGTCTGATTTTAGACGTAAAAATTAATAATTTAGAAGAATTTCCATCGAGCGCCGTAATTAATTAAAACGGGATTGTTTGTGATTTTTATACTTTTTATTGCTTGATGAGGTTTTTCAAACCTGACAGAAGAAAATTCACGTTCCGGCGATTCAGTTTTATTGATTTAAAAGTCTTATTTTTGATGTAAAAAATCACCAATGTGATGAATGAGGATGCAGCAAATCTAGACTTTAGTTGTAATGACCACAAATTATAAAATAATTAAATCATTAAATTTTATCCTTGATTTTTTTAATCCTGTTTTGGGGAAGGGCTCAAAAATTATGTCACGCGTAATAAGATCTCGCGTTATTTATTTTCTGGTCAGCAAGTGAACGGCTTATTTATTTTTGGTCTTTACGCGCTCTTGACACAGAAACGCGGAGCCGAGATTTGTATAAATTTCGTATCCCCTGCCGGCAACAGCTGCTTATCAAACAGGAAGTAGCATAAATTTGGCCCGGCGATGATGGTGATTAACAGAGAAGACAAGCCGAAAGCGCAGTGGTGAAAATTTTGACCACAAGAATGTTTACTTTTTTTATTGGAAACTGAATTTAAGTAAAGTAAAATAAATGGACATTTCAATTATCTAAATTTTATTGATGAAAATAATAAAACTAATAAAATAACCAATTTTTAAGTACTGAAGATAAAATAAAAATAGTTGTCGATAGTGTTGAACAAGTTTAATAATGTTAAATCGTTGACTGAATGTGCAAAATCCACATTACTGTTCATCATAGTGGACTATTTTATCGCCTTAATTTTCAACCCTCTTAATATCAAATTACTTATGGGAAATTCCTCGCGATTTTACCTTTGGCGATAGCTTTTGTCATTAAAAATAATTTAATGCTAAGGTAGAAAATTCAATTCAATTTATTCAGGCAAATCAAGGAAAAAAAGAACGGGACACTAAATTTTTTTTTCAATTCGGTACTTTAAGCCTTAGGCGGATAATTTTCGCGTCCAATTTTACACCCCCCCCCCCCCCCCGAAGTCATTACGAATTTAAAATATCTCGATTAAAAATTTTGTCTTTAACAACAAATTAATTGCATTTGACACAAAAATTTATTCAAAATTGACAAATTGTTGTGAAGGAAAGGAATTTCAAAATTTTAACCAACTTTAACTATTTTAACGTCCAGAAAATGTTTTTGCAACTCGACTTTCATGTTGGGTAGACTTCAAACGATTCAGCACCGAGCCAGAGATAAGAAAAGTAAAAATGTCACGCATAAAATTAATTTTTCCTAGCTTGCGCTTTATCTGGCAGGATAAATTATCTTATCTCAAGGTCACTTCGCAACTCTTTACAACATTTTTTCTGTGTTTTTAAAAAATTTCAGTGATTATTACGAAAAAAAATGAACAAGGTTGACAAAAAAAATTAATAATAAAAAATCCTGACCTGATTTTGACGACGAGTTCCAGTGGATAAATGTGAAATGCTTGGAAACTCCGACCACTCGTGGCTCATATTATTATTAAACTGGGAGATTCGCGACGCAAAAACATGACTTTATGCCCAATCTCTGTTATGACAGTGTTGGACTATTTTTTCAACAAAAGGTCTAATCGCAAAAAAGCTGTCGTGATGAGTGGGCCTGCCTTGGAATAGAGAAGAAATCTTTCTTTTCAGACGTCAAGTTTCAAAGTGCGTCACAAAACAAAACTGAGAAATTATTGCAAAAGACGCGTAATCCTATTATCCGATTTATATACTGATGCAATAATATTATCTGATTAAGAATAGGCGTGATTAATCAATACGTCATTAATCAGATTGAGAATCGGGAGTGTGAATTTTAATTGAATCTTGAGCAACCGCCTGAATATTAATTATTGCAAATAATACTGAACTAAATTATTCAATTGAAACCACTTGTGGTGTAATTTAACTGAAAATTCAATGATTTAAATCACTAATTTAAATCTACTCCTTAAAATATACAATTATTATTCATTTTAATTTATCTGTTTGCTACGTAAATTATCAATTTTTTCTTAAATAAATTTTAATTCAATTTCTTTCACATCCGTGGTGAGTTAATACATCGCTGCGTTACAAAAGTGGTACGTACTGTGTTCATCCGCACCACACTCTGACTGAGCAGATAAATATATATGATACACCAATAATGATGTGTGCCATCACAAAGCCCGCGCTCGCTCTCATATTGCTAATGGGACAAAATTGCGTTTCAATTGCTTTTGAGCAGCTCGTGTGTGCACAATTTAGAACTGAAATAACGCCTCCCGCCCTTGCACATTTAAAGTAGATAGAAATAACTTTCGAGTCTGGCCAAATCCTTTTAGGACCTCATCGGGACCATAAAACAATAAGTCTGAAGATTTGAATTTGAGAAATTAATTAAATAAATAAAATTTAAGACAGTTTTTAATTTTGATGTAAATTGATTGTAATGAATGAATGTAATTTATAAATAATAAGGTTTTATAAAATTAAAGAGGGTTTTTTTGAAATGTCTCAAATAGAAAGACTAACAAAAACATTGAACGGAGATAATCTTCATCAGAATGGTATTCCATGGGAACCGAGAAATTATGAAATCAAGGAGCAAATTTTTAAATTACGTTCATGGCATAACAATTTTTTAATTTTATTTTATTTTTAAATTGTGTTCATTTATTTAATTAAAGATCTACCAGGGGATCATATTTAAAATGGGTTCGATTATGTAAAAAAATTACATTATAATAATGATAATTACTGTAATTTCTGAGTGAAATTTTAAAATTTACTTGTATTAACCAAAGTGACTAAAAATTAGCATATTTTTAAAATTTTATCAAGAAATAAGGGTTGAAATTTTTATGGGATAATTTTTTTTTATAAATTTCTGCTGCTTATAAAGTAGAGCCAAAAAACAGTAAAATATACTTTCAAATTATGCAATTAAAAGAAAAAATTCGAAAAATTCCCAACTTCATTGTTCAGAAAAAAACATAAAATAAAGTAGTTATTGTGATGCATGTCATTTAAAATATGCAACCGCGGTAGCAAAAAGTTATTTTTCATGATATAATTTCGTCCCCAGCCATGAAAAGAAGTTTATATTGACAAACATAAGAATAATCCAAGTAAAAATTATGAAACTCTAAACTTTTTTTAAATTCCTTTATTTATTTTTTACCTTCTTTTACATCCGATTTGAAAAATTATAAAATTTCAGGTATAGATATAAGATTATAATCATCTTTAATCGATCATCTCTGCAATTTAAATTCGCAGGATGTAGCCGCGGTTTGGAAATAAAATTGCGACGTTTGCTTTTTCGCACCCGAGCCCATTAATTAATTATATGCCAAGTGGCGACCCTTGTGATTTGAGAGTCGCCATATTTTTTATCCCGCCGTTGGGTCGCGACAAAAACGCAATCAAAAAGCGATTCGTTTCCATTTGGAATTTTCGAATTTCGAAACTCAGCGTGCCCCTTTATTATATGTATTTCCACGGCCGTTTTTGCATAAGACAATCAGCGCTCACTCATTCTATCGTCAATGTTGCGTAACTTGTCAATTTGTGGATTCATGTGTGTGTGCACGTTAGAGGGACATGATTTGCAAGTGATCGCCTCCGCATGCAAATTAGAATCAATCTTCTCCATTAAATGTCAGCGGCCAATTAATTTGATCTCGGTTTTCATCAAACGAATCTTTCGAAACTCACTTAAAATTCCATTGAAAAATAAAATTCAAAAGATGCAAATTAAAATAATAAAGATTGTGTATAATAATTTTTTGTTTAATTTGAAAGCGAAAGTTATTTGGTCTTATTTTTTAGGGAAATTTTCACTACTCACTAATTTTGCTGAAAATTTGAATTAGCGGTCGAAAGGATGGTGTTGAGGGGCCGTCGGCGGGCCTGGATGGTGCGGGCGGGTGTCGCGGCGAGAGGACGACTCGGAGTGTGGTCGAGCCAACGCAATTTCTCCGCGCCTTTTGCCACTCTCGCTGAGGCGGCCAATTAGCCCCGGAAAGTCCTTCAATCCCTCGTCGAGGTGACAGAAAGAATCCGCCAATCTTTCGCCAAAGATAGAACTCACTTAAACGGCCACTTCCGCTTCCGAAACGAAACTTGCTCCCAGTTGATTTTTTTTTGCAAAAAATTTTAAAGCTTAGCCTTTTTTTAAAAATCTGAAATTATTTTAGTCTAATTTTTATTTTGTTTCAAAAATTCTAGCAAAAAGAAATCAATCTTTGAATTTGTTCGTAGTTTACAGCTGAACAAATTGCTACATTACAACACACTGCTGTTGAAAAGCCCTTCTATGATTTCATTGAATGTCATTGTCACACAGCACTGATGGTCTATATTACTTTCGTCTTCGGAAGTGGCAAAAAAACACAAAGATTAATTGATATGTATTTATTTATTTCTACACGTTACAATGGGGAAACAATAATAAGTTAATATAAATTTCGTGTTCTTGAAATCAGAGCTTAGAACGATATTATCATTGTTTGTTTGTAATTAAACTCGAAAACACATTTTGGTGGGCGAAAAAAAACACAAAGAGAACATCAAGAGAATTGATTCTTAAGGCACCATTTGGTTCAATTAAAATTTCACTTGGCAAGTCACGCGATTCGAAATAATCTCCCGATATCATAAACAACAGCAGAATTCAATTTAAAACTTAACAATGTTTGCAATAATTATTTGTCCTCATCAGACTCCTTCAATATAAACCTCTTCTTAAAAATAATACATCTTTTTCTCCTGCCAAACAATAATTCAGACAAAACTATTAAAAAATTTGTCTTTTTTACTTTTGATTCTCTTTACACAAATGACACGAGTTTTTCTAAATATTTATGGCAAACCTGAAGTGAACATAGCAGGACTAGAGGCTCCATACCAACCAACAACATCACTGAACAAGTTCTGAGATTTATACTTTCGTTTGTCTTTCTTTCTTTCGCTTAGTCTCCGACGTCACTGTCGCGGTCGCCGATCACGTAGAGGAACTGGAACGCCATGGCCAAGAGACCTGTGCCCAAAAGGTCGCCCAGGGCAGTCAGGTACGGGATCGCAGAGTTGTCGGGGTCGATCCGTTTTGTCCACATCCAGTGTACCATCACGTGAGCAACGTAGAGCAACAAAAATACCTAAACAATATCATCAAATTTACTTCATGATTTAAAATACCAAGTGGAGATTGCATTTCTCAAGACAAATTTTGCAACTTCAGATTTGCAAATTTTAAGCAGTTCTTCAATAAAAAAAATTAGCAAATCAAATAAAAAAAATAACAAAATAACATAAAAATTATTTCACAAATTAATAAAAAAAATTGTGCAAAAAACTTGGATTTTGACCCAGATGCATTTTGCTAAAATTTTCCAATTAAATATCATTGCAAAATCAGTCCAGGAGGAAATTGTGCATAAATGAATATGGCATTTATAAAAATTTCATACCTGAATGACAGCTGCTATCAAATAAATAACAACAAAAATGGGAGTTAAGGATGTGTGACCCGCTTGTAAGTAGCTGATTGTGTATGAGAATATCAAGTGGCCAGGAATGACCATCGCCATCAACACTCGAGCAGTTCTCGCATGGCCTCCTGTAGAATTTACACAAATCTAATTTTTGCCATAGAAGATTATTTCAAATTTTACCCTTGGCACAGAAAACGGTGATAGGGTTGATGCAGATCTTGGACGCGTAGGACGGCAGGACGCCCAGTTTGCCGTCCCTGTGCAGGGAGGTCGAGATCCGACTGGCCTGGACCGCAACCAGGTTGCCACCCACGCCGTTGATGACCGGTTGAAAGACGGCGATACCCTTGAACAGAGCCACGGTCAGGTCGAGAATGACGCCTCCGATGCTGCTGATGAGCATGGCCAGAACGACGGGCGTCCACCCTGAGCTGAGCACCTCCTTCGTGTACTTGTTCTGCCGGCAGAGCCAGGCCCAGAACGGAGTCAGCAGCAGACAGAAGCCGATGATCAGGGGCGCCAACCACGGCCGAGTACCTGAGAGAAAAGTTAAAATAAAATTTAATATTGCTTACAAATCAATTCCCTAAAATTTTGGGAATCAAAGAGAATTAATTCAAAATTCAATTTCAGAAACGTTTAAAATGATAAATTTAAATATGTTTTGTTCTTGAATTTTCAAAATATAAACTTTTCTTAATTTAATTTAAAATTGAATAAAAATTGTCAAAGTACCAATTGCTTCGAAGAGGAGCGAGGCAATCCACGAGAGCAGGGTGATGGTGATCAGATCTCCCATGCTGGCGGCAATGGGAGTGGCAACGTTGTCGGGGTTTATGTTGAATTTCCTCGAAGCGAGTATCACAGCAATCATCACAATACCTGAATTCATCAATTTAAATAATTAGGAGCAAAAATAAATTCCTAAATGGAATTGTATATTCCTAAATGGAATTGTATGATTTAAATGGATTCAATTGATAATAATATTTTAATTTAAACCTCATTTGGGTAATTTTAGTTATTTTTTTACATTTTTCATTGAAAATGTTTTTAATTAACCCTCCATTTGAAAAATTTATATTTTAGTGCATTTTCTAACTTGCCTAGAACAAAACTAGCAAGAGAGGCAGTGACCAAACTGCTAGCGCACAGCAGAAGGCCGTGGTCGATGTCGAACTTTCCCTCTGGGATCCAGCCCATGATCATAGCAGCCATCGAAGCCAAAAACCCAACCACGATCGCCTGACACTGAAACGACTCAATAAATTTAGAATTGAATAATTAAGCTAGGTTTTAGACGTACCTGAATTAATGACAGGTTTCCGACGATGAGACTCCACTGTTGCTTCGGAGTGTCCATGTAGCCGAGATTGGCCTGCGTGGAGAGACGAGAGGCCAGCGTCATTTCGAGGTTGCCCTTGAGGCCGAGCAGGGCTGGCACCAGGATAAATACTTCGGAAACTACTCGGAACACTTCCCAATGCTGCAATAAAATTAAAATTTAGTAATTAACATGACAAATTTAAAAATAATAAAAAAGTGATTATGTAATTTTTTAAATTTCTGTATAAAATTGACAGGAAAAATTTATTTTATAATATTTTTCATTTAAATTTCAAATTTACAGGTTTAATTCACTTAATTTCAAAATAATTTATAAAAAAATTTGATTATATAAAAAATTCTTGTACCTGGACAATGTCCAAGACGAGACCTGCGCCGACCATGCCGAGTCCGGCCACAAGGAAGGGTATGAAGACCTGGACGGCGATGGTGGAGACGTTTTCCTCGGGCTCGAACTTGTGCTTGGCCGCCGACGGCTGCTTTTTCCGCTTGGTGTCGTGCAGCAGCTGGAAGTCGTCGTCCAGCTCCAGTTCGCCGGCGGCCATCAGGCTCACCTCGTCCTCGGCCGTGCCGTTCAGACTCGCCATGTTTTTGCGTCCTTTTCTGTGCCGGCCGCCCTTTTTACTCGCGCCCTTGGGCGGCATTTCGCTCCCAGACTCGTAGGCACCCCTGCCGAAATTCAAATCGAATTAATATAAAATATCAATTTTACAAGAAAGGCACAAATTTGCAAATCAGACGAGAAAGAGAGAGAAGGAAAACCTTAATCCTGAAGTTGGATAAACGGGAAAGAGCAACTGAATAAATTGCAGGAGGCTTCTCCTCACCCCCAGACAAAGGTTGCCTATTTTTAGCACGACCCGCCCCTTCAATCAAAACAACACAAACCGCACTCTGCAGAATTTTTGGACCACAACCAAAAAAATAAGAAACGTTTTCAATAATTTTCATTTTTCTAAATACTCAAGAGAGAGAAATTAACTCTATAAAAAATTAATATCTCTGGATTACAAAGTCTAAGATTCAACTGAAAATTAAATATGATTTTCATTAAAAAAAAAAAAAAAAAAATTAGAATTTATTTAATTTTGAATCTTTTTTTAACAAATTTCTGTCGTAAATTTTGAGAATTTTGGGACCACAACCTAGATGAATGTTGGAAAAACATAAGAAATGTTCACAATTTTACATTTCAACAACTTCTTCTATATATACTTGAGAAAAATTAATTCTTAAAAAATTGAAAATCAGGATTTGATAAAACAAAATATTATTTGATATCTTAATGCTAACCAACAAATAAAATATCTTTAAAACAGGAATTTTTTTCAACTTTTTCTTGTAAGTTTACCAAAATTCATTGATTTTCTATTTAAAAAGTATTTTCAAGTTAAGAATTTCCACAAAACTTAATTAAATGAGAAAGTTTTTAAAAGAAATTAATATTTAATCAATTGTTTATCAAAATTCAAATTTTCTCATTAAACTAGAGCTTGATTGAAATGACCTTTGCAATAAAAACGTCAATTTTAGCTGATGAGACTTGTTAAAACTTGTTTCAAGTACACTTGTTACTCATTATATAGTTTTAACTAAGATAACACAAAATTAAAAAGTGATAACCCATTCCAACTTGATGACGTTGGAAAAGTTAAAAGTTCCAACTTAATAAAACTGGTTTAATTCTACAAAAAAATATAACACACTCCATTAAGTTTCAAACTACTCAAAATATAGCGTAGACTCACAAAATATTGTCAATTTCATTCATATTTGTCATAATTTGCTAATAAAACGGAGTGAAATGAACTCAGACGGCTGAAAACTGAAATTTTGGATGAAATATATAGAAGTTTAATTAATTATTAAATTCAAAACGAAAACTCACCATCTCAAGGCTGAATCTGAATAAGGTTCTTCTGTAAAAAAATTTATAAAAATTAAAATCAGAATTGAAATTTCAGTTGAAGATCAAATTAAAAATTGTGCCCGTCCGTCCTCACCACTCGGCTCCATGTTTATAACAAATTGCTCATCTTTAAAGCGATACATAATAATTTTGATTGTAATACCCGAAATTTACAAATATTTAAGTTCAAAATTCGGCCAACTCACACAGCAATCGCAAACAATTCGTTGTAAACGCCGGTCAATTAGAACTCCAGAGGCTCCTTATCGTTCAACCAAGATTAGCGGCAATCGAATGATACGGAGAACAATTAATTAACCGGATAACCAGTCGGAGACGGATCGGCCGACAGATCGGCCACGTCGGTGCTGAGTGACGGCCACGGCCTCGAAAGGGTTCAAGTGTTATTGTTTGTCTACAGCGAGATAAGAAAGCAGGCTTGTGGAAACAGAAAACGAGGAGCAATGGTGCTGCGAATGCACTTTTGCGTCCGAGTCTCTAATTTGACCCGCGAACCGCCGACGTCGGCGATTTATCTCTCGCACGACGGCTGACACACTTCTCGACTCGATTCGGCGCCGAAACCGCACCGATTTCGCCGCCGCACGAGCGAATTCGGCCGACAACACCTGCCGATGACACTTGCCTGTGTTTGTTTACGTTTGGTTTTGGCGAAGAATATCGATATTGAAAAACCGATTGGCGGTTTTTTTCTCACATAAGAAATTATGTTTCGCACATCGCTGGATTGGAAATGATCTGCAGTTTCCATTTATGAACTCGAAATTTAAATTCGTCCACTCGTTGCCGAGATTTTGGACAAATTCGGAGGCACCCCTGACGTCACGCACCGACAGCCAATCAGAGAGCGCCATCGGTTATCATGGAGAACCGGAAGCACCACCTGAGGAAAAGGCCCTGATGTGCGCAGGAAAAGCACTATTTTGTTTAATTAAAATTAATTTTTATGAATCTACCGCTTTTAACTTAAAAAAAATCATGTACAAAAGTTATGGTATTTTAGAAACACAAATTTAAATCAAAATTATTAAAAATGATCAAATTAAAAAGAAAAGTTGTACGAAAATTTTCCAGAATTGAATAAGTTAAAACTTCAAATTTTAAGAAGGAAAAATATTAATTAATTCCAATAAAAATAATCTAAGCTAGCAAAATAGCAACATTTTTTTTTAAATAAAATCTCTTGACTACAAAAAAATAAATTGCTGAAAATGTTTTCTGCTTTCATCAAAGTAATCCTCATTTCAAACCTTTAAAAAGCAGCGCTACCTGACGTGACCAGTTTACAAAATGGTCTGACAACTTTTAGCACTTAATTATGTATTCAGGCCGCTAATTATTTGTTTGCTGTTTTAATCAGCAGCAGGTTTGCTTATTTAGTTGAGGACACGAAACTCCCTCTTTCATCTTTCCTAAATTTCTATCTTTAAAAAATCACAGGCAAATTAGTGTAGTTGGAAATAAAATTTATTGCAGTTTGTTTTCAACGTACTATAAATATCATTTTGTACAAGGAGCAATTATCATTTTGCAGATGATTCTCAAATTTCTTTGCTTCTTTTTTTTCTTTCAAAATACAATTTTCCAAAGTTCGAGCACAAGACGAAGCGTCCGTGCGTGGTAAGTGTTTCAGTCGTTTGTTCACCCGTGGCTCATGTGGCTACATACTTTATTTTATCCGGCCGCGTGCAAATTATATTGTTCTCTTGTCAGAGGCAGGAGGGTTCAATCATATATAAGTCTTTAAGGAATGGAATCAAAAAGTTCAACGCAATGCAATTCAATAAATTATGAGACTTTCGCGCATTAAGTAATAATACTGCTCGGATTTGTTTCTTTTGATTTTTGATAGAGAGAGAAAGGTTAATTGTTATTGTGGTTGACTGAAAGCGATTATTGGTTATGAGTCTCTTGGAAAAGTCTTTCAAATCACTATTCGCCATAGTCGCGGTCGCCCACGTTGAGTCTGTCCGGAGCTGCGGTGACGTTGAAGCCCAGAATGCGACTGTCCACCTTCATCATTGGCTTCTTCTTGATTTTTTTAGCCTTGCCCTGTGAAAAAGAAATTTTAATTAGCAAATTTACACACACAAAATTACAAGGCTGTTTTTCTTTTACCTTGACTTCAAGGAAATCGCTATCATTAGGGTTGACCGCCGGGGCAGGTTTGCACATGTCGTCCTCGGCAATAGCCCTCCTCTGAGAGTTGCGCCACTTGGACCGCTTCTCGATGAAATTCTTGGCAAACTCTCTCGCTTCTTGGCCGTTGCCTAGGTACGAACGCACATAGTCGTTGATGTCAAACGGAGACTCAATATCTTTCAGGAAGCTCACAAACGTGGGGACTGATAAATGAAAAATCAAAATCCATTTTTGATAAATATAAAAAAGAGACTCACTGTCGATTTCGACGTCCGAATCAAGGGCACTTAAGGATTGAACGCACCACGCCGTGAAGTCATCCGAGAAGGACTTTGACTCAAAGATCTTCATGACTTGCGCCTCTTCTTTCTTGGACTTGTTCTTTGCGGGCTTCTTTTTGGCTGCTGAGGCGGCAGCCGCAGTTGTCTTTTGAGCTGCCGGGGGTGCTGATTGAACTGGAGATTGGAAGACAAATTAGTTCAAAGTAAGTTTTCAGTGCTTGTGGTTATCACCTGGCTCAGGGTCTGCGTTCCAAATGCTGGCAGGCATTGGCGCCGGCGCCTGTGGCGCAGGCTGAGTGGAATGGACAGGCTTGGCGATGACCTTAGAGGTCGCGCTCTGACCCCAGATGCCAACAGTCTGGGTTGGAGCTTGAGACCATGCTGAATTCCAGGTGTTGCTCACAGGATTTGAGATTGGCATAGGAATTGGCATCGGAGGAGCACTGTAGGTCGAGGTGTCAATTCTACTCTTCTTCTGTAAAATAATGCAAATAAAATTTCATATAAAAATAGTTTAGATTTAAAATGGTTTTTAAAATAGAAATCAGATTTTATTACATCTAAAATTTCAATTTTGTTGTTCCAATCCTGATGAATTTAATAAAACAAAATTAATTAGTTTAAAACTCCTACTAAAGAAAAATACTTACTTGTTCCTCCTGAATTTGCTGCAAGTTGAGCATGGTCTGTGAGACCTTTTGTGCAGAAGCTTCCCACGGCCGGCTCGGCTCCTCCACGAACAGACTTTGCTGCATTTTGCTGCGCTGCTCCTGCACGGCAGCGATTTCCCTCTGCGTCTCCTCCTTCTGCAGTTTTTGGATTTCAGCCAGGCTGGTCACCGAGTTCTTCATAGTGGCGGCCTGTTGGAGCCAAGGGGCCGTCTTTGCGGCCTTGGCCGCTCCGGCCGCCTTGGCCTCCTTTTTCCTCTGCTGCTCGAGCATGATCTCCTGTTGTTTCCGGAGCTCCTGCTGCCGCTGGATATCGAGCTGCCTTTGCAATTCCTGTTGCTGCTGCTGCTGCTTGAGCAGCTCCTGTTGTTTTTGCTGCTCCTTCAGCCTTTTCATTTGCTCCTGTTTTTGCTGCTTCATCTGCGCCTCCACCTGCTGTACACTCTGCATTTCCAACTCTTTCTTCCGAGCAGCTGCCTGCTGCTGCTGTTTCTTGAGCGCTTCCTCTTGTGCCCTGAGAATTTCAAAACAAAATATTTTATAAAACAAATTACTATAGTCTAATCATGAAAAAAATTTACATACTTTTTAGCTTTCTTCCTCTCCTTCTCCTCATGCTCTCGCCTCCTTTCCTCTTCCTCGGCCAATTTTCTTTCCATCTCCCTTTGTCTCATCGCAGCTTCCTCCTCCATTTTCTTTTTCTGCATTTCCTATAGTAAAAAGAATCCATCTCAATAAACAATCCCAATCTTTTATGGACCATTGCACACCTGTTCAAGTCGAATCCTTTCCTTTTCCATCTCTATCTGCCTGGCAATCATTTCTTGTCTTTGTTTTTCAGCCTCTTCCTGCAATTTCTTCTCCTCCTCAAGCCTCTTCATCTCAATAGCCTTCTTTGCAGCCTCAATCTCCTTTTGGATACGCAAATTCTCCTCCCGCCTGTGATTTTCCCTTCGACTTGTGGCCTCGGCTGCCAGTTTTTCCAGCTCGAGGGCGTCCGCCTCTACCTTGTCAAAGGTGCCACTGAACTGCTGCCTCGGATGCGGAATGCCATTGCTGTTGGCCAGACCCCACATGGACGATGGCACCGACTGCGGCAGTGGAATGGGATCCAGATCCCCCCACAACGACTCAACAAGCCTCGAGGTGGGCTGCGCCGCAGGCTCAGAGCCCCAGAGCGAGTCAGGCACACTAGGAACTGTGGGAAGGTGCCACGAATCACCGGGGGCAACGTTTGGCATGACCCGCATGACCTTCTCCTTCTTGTCCAGTTCGAGTTTCTTTTCATGCATCTTGAACAAAATTAGCATCTCCTTCTCCTCCGGCAAAAAGCGCTTCTTGCCGCTGGCCAATTTGGCGAATTGCTTTTGCATCCTTAAAAGTTAAAATGAATTGTTAGCATTCCAAATGTTATTAATAAAGAAGAATATATTGCTTGCCATTGGCTTATCCAGGCAGTGGTTGGTTTTAGGCTAGGGTAAGTGGAGGGGTCCAGTGGAAGGTAATTGCTGAAGGTGCCACCAAGTCCTTTGTGCATTTCCCTCCTCTCCTTTTCCTTCTTGAGTTCATTCCAAATCATTTGCTTATCAAAATTCCTGGACTCGAAACTTTCATCTGGTGATAAATAACCATCCTCGGGCTCAAAGGATAACCTGTCAAGCCTTACCCTGTGCCAAATACAATTAGCAAGACTAACAAAGAAGTTAATCACAAATTCACCTTTCGACCTCCTCAAATTGACGCAAGATAAATTCAGTCTGGATATTATGGCTTGAGTTATTGACTATTTTGCTCGCCGGGTTCCCGCTGTTTCCTGCTGCAGCACTCAAAGGGGTTGGGATATGGGGCAACTGAGGGGAAATACATTTAGTTCAGCAAAAAACCATATTTAACTCTAGTACCTCATTACGAATAGGCTCTTGTACGGTGGCAGGTAAACTCGCCTGCTCCCAGATTTCCGGGAATCTACAAATTTCTGAGAAATAACCCTCACTGTCCCTGCGGACCTTCAGATTGGGAGGGAAGAAGCCACTTTTGGTCCAGGCGAGCATTTGCTCTGAAGAAAACTTGCCCTGCTCAAAGCCCTGCGGATCGAGGTAGAACCAAAAGCCCTCTTTGCCGGTGGGTCGAACATTGTCTTCTTTACCCATATCGTCTTTTACAACATCATCAACCAATTTCTCAGGCCACTTTTCATTGCTCTTCTCACCCATGATCAGAGGCAAAATGTTCGCAGGCTGTTCGCTTCTGTTCGGCTGCTTCTTGATGCTCTCCTGCTGCTGTTCGTACTTGGGGATGATGGGTTTCACGTGGGACACTTGCTTTGGCTGCTTCACTTCCTCTCGTTTTTCCTCCTCCTGCCTGTTTTTAGCGTTCTTGTGGCCTTCAGATAGTCGTTCAGGACTGGGTTCTGTGCTGATTTTTCCTGCCATGGGTGAACATCCTCCCTCGGAGCCATCTTCACAGAAGAACACCCCTCCGTGGAATGCCCCACTGTCGTCGAAAGAGCCACCTTCCTCCGTGGGATTGCTAGTTGCCCTGCAAGAGAAAGCAAGTTTAAGTGTTACAAAGGTTTTCTTTAGCAATAGAATTACCACTCGGGAAGATCGCCATCGTGATGCCTTCTGAAGTGACCCTCTCCAGGATCCATTTCGGCCGCTCTGGGATTCTGTGACAGGTGCAGTTTGATTTTCTCGATTAGCGCTTCCTCTATCTCTCCCAGCTTTTTGATGTCACTCTGAATCGAATGCTTTTTGGTAAAACTCTCCGCATAGTCCACAATCTGGCAAGATCCTGACTTTTCCTGCTCCTCACTAGTTTTGACAAACAATAATTATGATTCTTCAACATGGAATTTAATCAAACTTACTAATATTTCACTTTTTTGTCCAAATCATCCAGCTCTTTGGTAAGCATTTCTTTGCGATGCGATATTTCCTTCACCTCTTTGATTGCGTCAAGAATCTTGAAACTGGGATCAATGCTGATTAGATTGAAACAAATTAGCCCTTTCCTGCTTTTGAAAGTAAAAAAAAAAACTGTTATTACCTATATCGTTTTTCACTGGTACTGTCCTTGTCGTTCTCTTGTGTGTCATGATACTTGTAGTCCTTTCCGTGATCACCCTCTCCGTGCCAATCCTCCCGCTCCTTGCCTCCTGCGTCGCGCCAACTACTAGCTCGGTCTAGGATTTCTCAATCATTAGAAAGAGAAGAAATTAAAATTTGTGATGGACTGACTCCACTTCATTCCAGATCCGCTTGGTCGTCTTACAGGAGGTCCGTCCTCCCCTCCCTCGATGCTGTTGTTTCTCCAATTGTCAATAGGCGGCTTCCCGAAGAACGGTTTTAGCTCTCGACGGGGACTAACAGAGCCTCCACTCCACTCAACCCCGTTTTCGGCCTTGTCATTCCAAGTCCGTTCTTGGCCACTCTGCCACAAATCATAGAAATGTCACATTTTTTTCCTGGTAAATTAAAAGGACTTACAACTGATCTTTCGAATCGGCCTCTGGATGCGTAATTGTTGATTGGAAAGCCGCCTCCTGGTTCCCGAGGTGCGTCTTCATCGAAACGACCCCTGCCGTTACTGAATCGACCGCCCCGTCCCCGTCCGACCACAGGCCCGTAATTGGAAGAATTTTGCTACCAAAGAGAATAGTGAAAACGTCTAAAGAGAAATCACTAGTCTTTACCAACGGCAGACCTCGACCTCCTATAGGAACAGGGCCCGATCCCCGTCCGTAGCCAGAAGTCCGGACCGCCACCTCGCTGTTTATTCCCCTTTGCCACATTCTCTGTTGGAATTGGAATAATCAATAAACACATAAACAAGAGACGACGGAAAACAAACTGTTTCTTCTTCTGTCATTTGAATCAGCGCCAGAGGTGGCAATGGCTTTTCTAAGAAGAGCATCGGGAAGCTGTCCAGACCGTCCGGCACTGAGGGCTTTATGTTGCCAAACATGGCCAGCATCTCCTCCCTGCCGTATCGGTAATCTGCCAGCTGGTACCGAGGCGTTATGTTGGCTGTTCCTCCTCCTGTCCCGCCGGAGCCACTGTCAGACGCCTGCGTTAGATTTCGGAGCCTGAAATTTTAAATTATTCATTTTAGTCAAATAAGCAAAAACTTTAAACGTACCACTCGGGACCAAACTTTAATGAGTCGGTCATGATTGAAGGATGACACCAGAAATGTCTCTGAAAAATACAACAATTTTATTAGAAATTTGGGATTAATAAAAATATAATTTTTAAACTGATGAGAACGATGACGTTTTTAATACTTCAGGCATCCGGAAATCGACAAGAATTTATGTACCGAGTCAATCTAAAAGCCAAATCACTTTTCTTAGGCCCAGATTTGACGACGAGGCCTCGTGTCTCAGCCTCTGCGTTTAGCGACCTTTAATTCGAATGCAGGATGGACAAGACCACTTTGCGTGCCAGACTTGCAGAGGCAAACGTTTCTGGGCGAAAGACACGAAAAACTGTGCCCTCGGACGAGGGCCTCATTTCAATCCCAAGTAAATACGTATTAGCCGAGCCGAGGCAGGCCCGTTTTAAATCGGGCCGCGTTGGCCTCATTTGAAATAAAGGTGCCTTTGGTCGGCACCGAATTGGAGGAAATCACCTCGGCCGACCGAAGGTGCCCGTTTCGGAAAATGTTGTCACGTCGCGGCGTGAAAAAATTACCTCGAAAGTTGAACGTTTAGTTGAAAAAGGACAAACCACACAGCAATATGGCCGCAATTGAATGCTGACGATTTGGGAGTCGCGAAGGCGCATGCGTCGCACACGAGACGACCCGCGAAAATCGCACCTACGGCCGACGCATGCGAGCCTGTTCCAAAAACTCGCGTTCGCGATCTGCTCTCACCCGTGATCACGGAGCACAAGGATGCGAGGAATTTCCTGGCCGACCAATCAGCGCGCGTTTCGGCCAAGGCCAGCCAATCACAGCACGCGCCTTTCTCCGAAGTCGTGTTTTCTCGCCGCGCAACGTTTTCCCGCAATTTTAACCAAAATTTTTATCCGTGGACCCTACAAGAGAAATTAATGATTTGGATTGATTTTTTCTTTTAATTTAATTGTTTTTTTTTTATGTGTTTAAGGCAATTATTTAGGAAAATGCAAAGATCTAAAAAATTTCGGCACGGCAAGTAATCGTGAGACCCCTGGCGGCCCGAATGCAAAAGTTCCAAAAAAGGGGCGTGGCACCAAATTCAGATCACGAACGAAACAATTCCGAAACTTTGCTGACTTTGACGTAAATAAACGGTGAAATCGGCCGACTTTGTCCACATTCGTCGGCTATGACTGTGCGCCCGGATTTCTGACGATTGCAAAATGGTGAGTTCGACCTGCTCCGTCAAAGAAATCTCTAAAATTTGATCATTTGACAGAATCACAGCCACGAGCAGAGCAACCAGCAGCCAAGAACAACCACCACGAACCAGGGCTGCATGAAGGTCTTTGTCCAGAGAGACTACAGCGATGGCACCCTGGTCAAGTTCAACACCTGGTTCCCACCTGAACTCGAGGACAAAGTATATGACTGAATTTGCTCGGACATCATAAATATTTAAATCAGTCTTTATTATAAAAATAACATCACAGAAAATGATGACTATTTACTTCTAGACTAATCTTTCCTAATTAATTGCCTTTGTGCGATAAGCTATTGCTGATTGATAAGCTTTTTGTTTTCACAGATAGAGAGGCACGCTTTCGAGTACACAATAAACCAACTGAACGCAATGTACACTGAAGCGGAAAAAGCAGGTTGCGGGACTTATTGTGAGGGGTGCATGGCCTGCCTCACAGCTTATCTCATGTACATGTGCACGGAGACTCACTACGAAAAAGTAAGATTAGAATATAAGTTCGGAGCATTCGTATTTCTCTTAATTTTGAAAATTTTAAAGAAGCCCATTTTAAATTTGAATTAAGCCAAAGTGGTTTTGTAAGCTATTTTTTCATGGCTTCTTCTCTGTTAGCATTTCGACGTTGACATAGATTCCTTTCACTTATCACAACTTAAATATTTTTGCAGTGTTTGAAGAAAATTGCCAAATTTGTGGTGGAGCAGAACGAAAGAGTTTACGTACCAAGAGGACTTCTGTTGACAGACCCTTCCGAGAGAGGGCTAAGAGTTGTAGGAATAGAAATTGTTAAAAAGGATGATTAAAATTATTTAATTTATTCATTTTTTCCAGATTGAGATTTCAATTTTAAATGAGCCAGCAACTGCGACGTCTAGGTCATGACTTTCCCTTTCTCTGTCCACGGAAGAATTTTTCATGTAACCCGTATTCTAACAACGCCCCTGAGATTTTCATGTGTAAAGTAGGACTCATCATTTCCCTCGCCAGACCATTTTTCTAAACGATTTTCATATGGAAAAAAACTCTTCACTTGGTAATTTTAGCAATTGTTTGGAATGCAAGGGAGTTTACTTGAAAAGATAATTATATACCTCATAAATTATATTTGTAGGGCCAAAATCTGTGCATTTTATTGTTGGTATAATTAGTGGTGCATTCCTTGGTTTTGTCCTCGTGCTCCCATTTAAAAAAAGAAAGATTGAACAATTTAATTTATCCGTCGATACCTTTGATTTCTCTTCTGGGTGGACAGATGGACGTTCATGTAGAGCCTGTAAAGTGACGATGCAATTTTTACTCTGGACTTGAGAGAAAGAGCAAATCTTTAATTTAATTTAAAAAAAAATATTGATTAATTTGTTCTGCATTGAGTCAAATTTCTTAATTGTCAAGGTGTACTAGTTTTTTTTCTTTAGTAGCATTTTAAATATTAAATCTAAAGAATGTGTTTTTCCATTGATGATAATTGGTAGCTGATGTCAAATGATTTTAAGTTGAAAATTTATGTGATTTGTAGTCAAAACTGTACTGAAGGCTTGCTAAATTTCTCTTAAGTCCGTCTGTAAATAATGACGAGGTTATTGTTGCTTGAAATTAATTTATTTAAGTGTAAATACTTTTGTTTTTTGCATAACTGCAATTAATTAATATTTTGAAGGCTTTCTATTGTATTGTGAAGTCATATTATTTCCAACGTCATCAAACACTTTTCCTGCTTTGGCGAAACTTCATAGTTCTCTAATCCCAATAAATAAAGCATTGTGATTTCTCGTAATACATTCAAAATGTGATTTTTTTAATTGAAACTTCCACTTGAATGCAACAAGACTGAGATATTTATTGTTCCGGCAAAAAATAATGTACATTTAACAGAAAATTATTAGATGGCAAAGACAGCAAGATCGTTTTATACAGAGATATTTTTCAGAGCTTGAAAACTGTTAGGGATGGAAATGCTGAGAAAAATGCACTCTAATTTGAAACAAATGCCTCTTGATTCTCCACCTATACAATAATTGAAAGCTTTGTTCAACACTTAAAAATTATTTTCATTCATTTTCAGTTTTTGTCCTATAGATTATATATCTGGACTTATCATTTGTTATTGTCATTAAATAAGTTCGATTTTTCATATTTTCCCTTGCAAAAGCAGGCACTCGAATTATTATAACAAAAATTAACAAGCCATTAAGAATTTGAGAAATTTAATTTAAACTTTTTGAGAGATAAGAACAAACTTGTTAACTTTTGGCACTTGGCACATTAAAAATCTAGTTGCAAGTTTGAATGGAATATAATTTTAGAGTTAACAATAAGACCTGAAAATTGTGCTGGTTATTAGATTTGAAATTTTTTTAAATAAAGGGTCAAATTTTATGAACCTCTTAATTAGCATTGATGGCATTTTGATTTCACTCTTTTTTAAGTGCAAATTCAGCAAAATAATTTAGAACTTAGCGAGTATATATTTTTGTTGTATGGCTGTGAAGTTTACTAGTAGAAGTTTATTATCTTTTTAATGGAGTCCAGAAAATTTTTAATTTTTGAAATTTGAGAGAAATTTGGAAGCTTTATTATTAACAACATTAAATCTCCTATATTTTGCAACACCTAAAATCTTAAGTAAAAATCAAAGTATAAAATAAAATCAATTTCTATCTTTACACATTTCTAGCCAACATCGAGCAAAAATTAAAAAGCGCCAGCGCGCGTTACTCTCCTTAATTTTAAGATGGAAAAAAGTAAAAATTTGGATATTGTTGAGATATGTTTTTGCAATTAAAGATTTTGTAAAGGGATATGAAGTTTGTCATAAATTCTAACATTTTTACAGTTTATCTCTGACATTGTTTCGTATTTAACATTTTGGTACAGTTATTAGTAACATTACATAAACCTCTCTACAAAGAAACATTTTCGGTGGCAACAGAAATTCCGGTTTTAACAGCTCTAAATGATTTATATTATTGTCAGATATGTACAACGCTGAAATATTTACACGTTTTTGAACTATCAAGTTCGGAAACATCGGGAAATTGACCTAAAAGTTTCGGTGTGCGGCCCTAAGTGACCCTTAAATTACGCATCTCCTTCTCGACCACAAATCTCGACATTAGTTTCGTCTTTTATTTCATATAACACGAAGCAAAATCTGATCGCCGTTTGGCGCATCAGTTAATATAAAAATTATTAATATTTTTCGGTTCGGGGAAATATATTTCAAGTATATATAGTTGCGAACAGTTTCATTGTTTTCAGTTATATTTAAATATGATACCAGTGAAAATTATTGTCTTTTTCAGACGCAAGTTCATTCATTTATCTCAGTAATGCTTTTTGCAGCAGAGTAGGTGAAAATTATTGTCATCCCACATTGCACAGTAATAAGTTTTGTATATAGTAAAAAATGAAATTTTAAAAATTGTATCTACTGAGAAATTATAAGACAAAGTTGTTAACATACTCGTTAAAATCCATATCATTACATTATAATTATTGTCTCGTCATGAGCTATTTTGTTGTAGAACTTTATTTGAGTCAATCCCGCAAAAACAAGGCCCCCCATCTCTCGACAAATGCTTTTGTACTTCGACAAATCCGAATAACATTTTGTTTTTTTAATAATTTGATCACAAAATTTTCACACAGTTTAATTTAAATCTCGACATTACATTATTTTCCTCCAGCCTGAAACAATTAAACACCTGTTTCCTTAACTTAATTGTTTACACATATAATATATTTGACTTTTACGTTTTTTTTCCTGCAAAAAATTCGATTTTCTTGCTCTCGACCTATCCATTAAAATTATTGTCCCTCGTAGTGTAAAGATCACGCAAACGCTTATAGGTAAGTCGCTCTGTTTCTTGTTCACCTGTTGAGTGCCAAGACCAAAAGGTGCACCAGCACTGCCGCGGAGGTCGTGTAAAGCGGCGTGGCGCTGCTCAAGCCTGCAGACGCGCCCGTCACTCGGATCTTCCAGCCCAGATTGTTGTGTGTGTAGCACTGAAATTAAATCGTTTTTCATAAAAATGATAGAAATCATTCTAAATTTGACAATGGGAAAAGTAATTGTTTCAAAATTCAATATAATTAAAAGTCAGTCAAAACTTCAAAGAGGAATTTTTACTCCTGAATGTGAAAAATTACAAAATTATCTTGACCAAAACATCACAGTATAATTTTTTTGTAAATTGGCCTCTTTCACATTCAGGATGAACAAAATTTTCTCTTCTTACTTCTTAATATTTATTGATTTTTTTTTTTATTAATAATTATTATTGACCGATGGAAATAAACAAAATTAATTTAATCATTTTAATTATGAGTTTTAGTTGTTGGGACTCAAATTAATTTAACTCTTTTTTATGAATTTTATTTTCTACATTTTTAAAAATTTGAATTCATAGCTATACCTGGTAGTAAACAATATTAGGGGTGTTTGCAGCAACGGTCCAATTCAAAATTGCTGGCTCGCCATTTTCGCAATCCAATCGCAACGTTTTTGTAAAACTCTGGAACGTTTCCTCGTTTGCCGACTGGTCAATGGTTTTGTGCACCCATTCGCAATACCGACCCGCTATGGAAATTTAAAATAATTATGAATTTTAATTAAATATATTTAAATTTTTACCGGAATTGGGATACGGATTTCCCTCCGAGTCGTAACCAACGCCGGCAAACACCCTCTGCCTCAACTGCTCCCTGGTCGTCTTTTGTCCGAATCCACCCTCGCTGCTGTCTGTGATGTAGAAGGGGTGGTACTTGGCAGGGTTGGTCCGGTCGAAGCCTCCTTCAACCTTGAAAATGTACGTTTCTCCGCGCTCGACGGTGATCTCAGGAATCAGCAGATCGTTGATGTACCAGGCAATGCCCCAAGAAGGATGACCTGAAGAAGAAAGGGTTTTTTAAAAATTATAAATTTTTCAATTTTATTAGCTTTTTAATTGAAACAATTTATTTCAGTTTTAGGCATATAAGTGTTTTTTTTTTTTTTAAATATAATATTTAGTTGTTACTTTTTTAATTAATTAATTTTTCTGTTGAATTATATAGTTAACGAAACATTATTATTATTGTTGTTATTTTGTCTTAATTTTTATAATAAATTTAAAATATAATAATTTATTTTTAATTTTTTTAATTATTTTTATACTTTAATTTGATAAATTTATAAAAAAAAAATGACTAAACTGATGTGACATAAATAAAAATTATGATTAGATAAAGTAAAATTACTATTTATAAATTTATTTGTAATTTCAATTCAATCACTAACCTGTAATTGGTATATAACCCCTTTTTCCTCCAGTTGGGCCAATTCGGGCAGTGAATTCTTTCGTCCCCTCGATTTTCAAAGGATCCCACGGCTTCAGGACGGGCCCTTCAATCTTTTCGGACAGGGTGGTGGCGCACTGATGGTCGTGTTTGCTGCTGAAGTCGATTCGAAGGTCGCCGATCGTCCGGTCGTCGGCGTTGTGCGCGTTCGCCTCCTTCCTCGAGTTGAGCGGGCCGATCGCAGCGATCACGTTGACGTCCGAGTCGGAGGGAATGGACTTGTCCTTGTTGCCGTCCCTGGTTTGCAGAGGTCGCTTGTAGGTGATGGTGATCACGCCGTCCCTTTGCTCGCCCGAAATGACCATCGCGTCGTTTTTGCCGCCGATTCTCTCGTCGGGACAAACGCCTTCCGCTCCATCACACTTGAAATAAGAAAGGGAAATATTGGCAAAAAATTTCAAATCATAATTTAATTATAATAATAAAAATAATTTCTTATTGTTTTTAATAAATAATTTAATATAAAATTGAAGAGAAAAAAATGAGAATAAACTTTCTTAAATTATAATATTTTTTTAAATCTTTGTTTTTAATTGTATTATGATGTCCAATATTAAATTTAAGCTTATTAATGAATTAATTACAATTTAATAAATTGAAAATAATTAATTATTTATTATTTTAAACTAATTTTATAAATAATTCATTAGGTCGCTTAGCTGGTAATAAAATTATATCTTTTTTTCATAGGTTTTTGAAGATTATTATGATTATTATTACAAAAAATCTTGAAGATTTTCATAAACTTATAAAATACCTGGGCATATTTTGTGATGTGGTAATCGACAGCCCTGAATTCTTTCTGGTCCTTGTCGTAAAAAGCAACCACCACGTCCGATCCAATCATTTCTGATCTGAAAATTTCCAATTTTAAGCATTTTTTTTTTCATTCAAGTAATTTAATTCCCGACTTACTTTCCCGATTCGCCGCTGATGCCGAAAGCCATGTACTGATTTATGGTGATTCTTCCCGAGAGCTGCACCTGCACCTCGTTGCCGTGCATTTCCCACTGCACCTGCAGCCGATCTTTGAGCAGCACGTTGCAATTTGTCATTTTGGGCATTTGCAGCGGGTCTTGCGTCGTGCTGGTCGTCTATATAATTCGGAGGGAAAAAAATCAGCAAAATCTCGCAATCGCCCGGAACAACATGAATCAAGTAGTGGATCGTGGAAAAGAAAAGAAAAAGCACACGCTACTGCTAATTATATAGAGAATAAAAACCGAAAAACGAGAATGAGGTGTACTTACTGGATTGTACCACCATGGAGGCTTGCGCAAAAATTTGTCATCAGAGAAATAAATTTGGAAAATTCGGCAAATGGGAAAACAGAAAAACAGGGAGCGGGGAATGATTGTGAGATAAAGTGAGTTTCGTATTTTTCTGTGTTGAAAAAAGCACGGAAATACTCACAGTTATTTTGGTTTGGCCCAGAGCCGGCGGCACGTCCAGGTTCGGAGGAATCATCACGTGACCGAAATTGTGTCTGTACTGGACGCACCACATGGCCAACCACTGAATGTCGTAAACGGTCAGGTTGTTGGGCAGCTGGATTTCTATGTCCTCGCCCTGATATCCTCTCAGTGGTTCCAATCTAAATTTAAATAAGCAAATTAATTTAATTTTTATTTAATCGAACAAAAAAATTACAATAAAATTTCAAGACTTGAAGTGATAAATCCGATTTAACCTTACAATTTGACGGAACTTTGAATTTTGATTGTATTTTTAAAGCAACTTTTATAAGAATTTGTTGTCGATCGATTTCAAATTTAAGGATCTAATCAGAAAATTGAAAATAATTGCCAATTTTAATATTTTTGTGGATAATTTTAAACATTTTAAAATTAATTAAGAATCGCTTATTTACGAAAATTCTAATCTCAGTTTAAAATCGAATAAATCAAACTTTTATATCCACTTTCATTGTAAAAAACCTTTTTTTATTAAATTTTGAAGTGTATTGCAATTTAAAAAATTCAAACAAAATTATCCAACTCACGATCCACGCTCGTTGGGCACTTTGAAGCCAAATTCGCTCGGCTCGGACCCGTTTCCGACCCAAAAGTAGGCGTCGGGGCCGGCGCCGTCGTAGTGCAGGTTGGGGATGTAGAAGGTTTTGGCGTCCAGGATGCTGATGTTGCCCGAACGGAGGCCGTGCGCCAGTCTTTTGAACTCAGGGAGCACCTTGGTCTTGGGAATGTCCAAGTCTGGGCGGATGAAAACGTCGCCAAAATTGACCTGGAAAAACGAAATTTTAAAAGAACGTCAAAAAAAAATTGAGACGAATTTCGTAAAAAATTATTTCTGAGTAAAAATAATAAATAAAATTTCATTCTGAAAAGTAAGAGATATTTTCTTATATAATTTCCAATAAATGGAGAAAAATTAATGTTTAAAAGCAAAACTTTTTGCCTACATTTAAATTTTATATAAAATTATCTTTGAAAGAAAAAAATCAGGGGAAATTTCTAAATACGAAACATTAACTGAACGATTTTTTATTTAAACTGAACAAATTTTTATCAATTTGAAAATATTTTAATTATGTGAGGAGCAATACAGTGATTTTTTTCTACAAAATAACGATTTGATTGAATTGCCGGACGTGGAAAAAAAAACAGGGAGGAAAAAACGGAATGAAAAATGAACGCATTAGCCTCGCAATGTCGCATTTGACACGGTTTCGCAGTTTCTCCCCCGTGGCGGGCGCCGCCGCCGCCACAAACACGGGCTGACTTTTCACGCTTGTCCATTTCCTTATTCATTGTGAGCACTCGATTGCCTCCGAATGCACCCTCTCGCCTCCCCCGCCAGACCATTGTGCGGGCGCATCAAATCGTAACAAAACCATCAAATTCGTTCGCAACGCATGCAAATGCGGCGCGCGGGGCCCCTGCACGGCCAGGCAACCCGCTCGACGCCCGTGTCCGACCGATTGCCGGAACGAGGCGCCCCCCACTTTGAGAACAAATGGCAAAATGCTTTTAGCTCTTTGCAAATAATCGATTCCTATTTAAAAAAAGGGAGTGAAATATAAAATTTTATTCGAAAAAACGTTTCGAAAGGTTAAAATGTAAAAAGATTTTTCTAAATTTATTGGAACTTAAAAAGAGGGAAAGATTTAACAAAAATAATAATGTTGGTTTTTTTTTAAATTTATAGAAATATACTTAAAAAATATACAAAATTTGTACGTTCAGAAATTATCTTAATTTAAAAAAAGCAAAATGCGTCTTACACTTTCTGAAATCAATATTTCTATGGAAAAGAGTGCATTATTTTAAATATTTGCTTACAATTTAAATTTCAGTTCTATTATTATTATGCAAATCGGTGTCGGTCGAAATTCATTGAAAGAAAAATTAAGTATTAAAAAAAGTATATCAATATATCAATAGTTTTTTCAACTTCACTGAAATTTTGCAATGAAACTTTCCTAAAAACAGTGAAAATTTAATTTTAAAATTTATATAAAAATGAAAATTCCTTTTTCTCAATCGCAAGTTAATTATTAACTTTGGGAAAAGTTAATATTATAGTTCTGTCTTTGCGTCTTTTAGATTGAACAAAAAAATTGCATCTGAAATCATTTTACTTTTCTGTTTAAAATTTTATAAAATATTTATTTTCCACCATTAAAATTTTTCCAGCCGGAAAACCAAAAAGTTGGCAGGGCAGGGCGAAACTATTCCGTCAAGGGTGCAAGTGGTGTGGAAATCTCGGAGCGAGAGAGCTCCACCCCTATTAGCGGCGTCCCCCAGGGGTGTGCTGCAGTAATGTGGAAAGCGAGATAACGTGTGCACGCGGATCAGACACATTCAGCCTGCGATAAAATTAATACATTATTATTTCCTCTCGTTAAGACCTCTTATTTACGACCAAGGCTTTCTTTTCTGCCGACGTCCAGTAAAAAATATATACTTTCGCTGCCCGTTACAAAGTTAATTTGTTGAAAGAACAATTTTATTAACAAAATAATAATAATAATTAATTTTAAAGTTTTGGTCTAAAAGGGTGTGGCAAGTTTTAGACAGATAAAATTACATATTTAACGATTTTAAATCATATTTTTTTACTTAAAGTCCATTTTTGTCCCAGAGTAATTTTCTAATCACTGTTTCAAAAAGATCTCCTGCAGTAATTAATTTTCTAAAACTCTTTAAATTTATCTGTATCGCTCTCAAGAACAGTAAACTTAATTAAAAACTAATAAGGAAAACCACATACCGTGAAACGGCGACACCAAACGGCCAACCACTTGATATCCCTTATCCTTTTTGGGAAAGGAAGTCGCAGAATGATGTCGGCGTTGCTTATGGCAGGAAGAATCGGTGGTTCTCTGAAATGTGCAAAGCGTTTTAATCAGAAAACAAATTAGTGGTTTTCCTGACCAGACTAATTTTACAAAGATAAATAACAAGATTTATAAAAAAAACTTTTTCCCTGATTGAACATTGATTTTTTTCTCCGGGGAAATAAAACAAAGTCTCCGCGGAAATTCATCAATCACTTCGGTTCAAGAAGTCAACGCAATCGAGGTGACAGATCGGTGATAAGTGTTCCATTTTACTCGAAAAAGCCTCTGAGGAGAAGTAAGTTTGCGAAATAAATTTATCGCGAGTGAAAAGTGGAGAATTTTCATGGGGGAGGAAAACTTGATTAGAACTGGTGATTTTTCCTAATTAAGAAGGTCAACAGCGGGCACGGTCAACGACAATTATAAATGGAGAAACATTAGTTTCGCGTCCAGTTGAAAAGGGTTAACAAAATTTTAGTGGATTTTAACACCTGAGGATCGTTTGAATAGAGAAAAGTCCGAAATTTACAAAAAATTCTTGTTTCTTTAAAATTCCGTTTGAAAAACGGATTTTTTCTGTACACAACATGAAATTGAACAATTTACTGCCAAAAAATATTGTGTTACGTAAAAAATACATTGAAATTTATTTAATTTTATTAGGAAAAAGAAAAAAAATGGGTTAAAGTTTGCAAACTACTTTAGTTGGGCCAGTTTTATAATGTTTTAAAAAAATAATAACAATTAGATTCTTTGTGAAATTTAATATAAATTATTTGAAAAATTGTATTAATATTTTTTTATTCATCAATTTAAAAAATAAAAAACATTAAAACAAAAGTATATTTATCAGAAATTGCAAGCCAGAGTCAATTAATTAGTTCTTAACTGATTGTCAAATAGAACTTTCGCTCGGAAAAAGAAATGATTTTGTCAAAGTTAAAACATAGAAATGAGAGCTGAACTGCACAGTCAGAGACAATTTCGCTCGCAGGGCAAGAGTGCGAGGGCGGAGAGGGAGAGTCAATTTTAATTATCCCGCAGGCGACAACGCATTCTTCCTCCGCTCTTTTGCACTCGCGCCGTACTTGTTGATTTGCAGTCTGAATTTGACTAGCAGGGCGGTTGCCACCCCCGCACTGCACTTGGGGGGTTGCTAGGGCTTTAATTAGAGATCAAGTGACGATCTGGCAGTGAGAGATGAAAGCGACCGTCTTGAACCAAAGAACTGTTGACGAAGCCTTGCAAACGATTCTATTTTCAAAGCTACTTTTTCATCAATTTCGGAGAAAATTGAAAATAAAAATAAAAATGTCGAACCAATAAAAACAACAATATTGAGAAAAATAAACAGAGCAAAATGATAATAATTCCGTCACAAATCACGAAATCTAGCCAAAATAAATTTATTAAATTTATATTTATAGCCATGTATTTTAAGATTTATTTTATTTCCTATTATTTTAAATTAATCAGAATAGAGAAATAGTGATTAAATAAATTAATTTTATTTTTTTTCTGACAATGAAAAGGAAATTCAACAAGCTATCTAGATTCTGAAAATAAATAAATTGCAAAAGTGATCTCACCGTCCCTTGTAGTCCTTGGGGTAGGGGACAATTTCACCCTCTGGCGACGGCCTCGTCTGGTTGCCGACCCAGAAGAAGGCGTCGGGTCCTGTGCCATCGTACGCGAAGCCTTTGATGAAAAGCGTCGACTCGTCCACGACGTACACGGTGCCTTTGATTCCGTGCGCGTACTCTTTGAATTCTCCGACCAGTCGGCCATATTTTGTCCTCTCCGAGTAACGTTGCGAGTGTGCTGCAATCAAAGGCACGAATGATTTAATTTTTGGTTAATACACATAAGAATTTAATTACTCTGGGAAATTGCATTTGTCATTTTCATGTAATTTTTTTTACTTCAAACAGTGAAACGTGAAATATGTACAAACAATTCCGATTAATAAACAAATAAAATCGTAGGTAATGAAATAAATCCATCATCTCTAGATGTGATAAAATTTTGATAAAAAAATATTTTGAAATGTAAAATCAGGCGTATAATATGATAAATAGGTCCATAGAATTGATAAATGTTTGTTGCGGTCAAATTTATCGTCTTCTTGTAATTATTAGTCCTAGGTTTTAAAACAAAGGTCATTAGAGTTCTACTGTCCTGGCCAAAGAAGATTATCAAATTTATCGTCTTCTTGTATTTATTAGTCCAAGGTTTTAAAACAAAGGTCATTAGAGTTCTACTGTCCTGGCCAAAGAAGATTATCAAATTTATCGTCTTCTTGTAATTATTAGTCCAAGGTTTTAATACTAAGGTCATTAGAATTCAACTGTCCTGGCCAAAGAAGTTTTTCAAATTTAATAAGGTTTAAAACTTAACACGTTCAACATAAAAATATTCCATCCCTATGATATATTGAACAAACTGTTCCATATTTTCACATTAATTTTCTGTTGCTTATATTGAATAAAAGCAAATAATAAGGACACAAGTCGTCGATCGGCTTTATTCATTGACAAGTGTGTTTACGTGTACTCGACGAACGCGAGTGGGGTGCGCAAATTTTTCGCTCTGAAATTTGAATGCGATCAACAAACACATTTCGCAAACGAGAGAGATGCAAAAGCCAATAAGCACAGTACATTTTCCCATTCGGGATTTCTCTTTTTTCGCTCGCTCATGTTTTATTCAGAGGACATCTCGTCATCTCGTGAGTGAGCACAAAGCAAATCGATAATTTAGAAAGAGAGAGAGAACGATGGCCAATATACATATAACGAGCGGAGAGAGATGATATGGCCGCGTGCGCCGCAAAAAGAAGGGGTGCGCCACGGATAATGAGATTTCATCTGTGCACGTCAGGGATGCAAGTCGGCACAATTTCAGAGTATTCATGTTTGAGTGGATCTTTAATAATTATATTTTAAATAATCCAAATGATTGTATTATTCTCTATTGGGGATGCGAAGAATTGAGAAAAAAAAGTATTCTTAATAGTTTTTACCATATTTTTAAAAAAAATAGTTTATAATACTTTTCAGGGCACTGGTAGATCTCTAGTCGACTGAAAATGAGAGGTTTGAATATTTTTAGGGGTTTTTTTAATATGTTTTAAAGAATATTTTTCAAAATATTGATGATTAGAATGCTTTTTAAAACATATTTTACTATATTCTAATATTTTTCAGGGCGCTGGCTTGTCTCGTTGACTAACTGAGAGGAAATTTGTATCAAAAAGTTGTTAAAAGATAGCTTAGGTTACTCAAAATTATATTGCATCATGTGAATTAAAAGTTTAAAATTACGAATTGATTTTCTTCCAGGCCTAGATTTTTGTTAATGAAAGTCATTCTTTTAGTTTTTAAATTTCTGATAATTATGATAAATTATGTTCAATTTAAAAATTTTGAATAAGAAATTGTTCCCATTTTCTGGTTCTAATTAATTTAAACTTTAAGTAATTCTGCAAAATAGTTCAAGATTTTTGATGTGAACAAGATTATTTAAAAAATCGGTTAATATTCGGAAAGCTCATTTTCTTCGTCTGCAGGAAAAGCTTCTGCACATGAATTTCAGCGAGTCATTGGCAGTCGTTTTTCTGTCAAAGCCTTTGATTGCCTCTGTCACGAGTGATTCATGCCGTTTGATGAATTGCCACACCGAGGCAAAAAGCTGCAGTTTAATATAGGAAATGTGCGCGCATTACTTCTGCTCCACCTCACTCACTCTCGTCTCTCTCGCCAAATCGATGTCCAGCTGAGAACTTTTCCCTTGACGTGGGTATTAAGATTACTTCTTACTCCGGCGGCACACGCATGAAAAGGTGGTGGGTACGAAAAAAAGCGAGGGATGAAATAAATTCAAAATGAAAATTGAGTCATGCGCTGCGGCGAAACCCGGGCGGGGGGTGCAATCAGCAAAGTGCGCTCGAAAAGTGAAACGTCGGCGAAACTCAATCTGAATCTCAGGGGGTGGATGGGGTTGCTATGAATATTCTCACAATGGAAGAATTTCTTCCTTTTTATGAAAAGAAAATTTTGTTTATTACTGTGTGTCGAAGGCGAAACTTTTTATCAAACAAGTTGTGAAATTCAATAAATTTTCTGAACAAAATTTAATAAAATATTTAGATTTTATTTTAGGAATTCAATAAAGTAGCATCTTTGATTAAATTGAACACAGTTTTAATATCACATTTTCCATAGTAACCCTTTGAACTTTAAAAATAAATTAATGTTAACAAATTTTATATAATTATATATTTTGAGATCAGATAAACTTAAAAGTTCCTAGATTTTAAGTAAGAATGAGACCAAGAAGAAATTTGATGTTTCTTTTGTAAAGTATTTTTTCAGTTAATAGGGAATTTTTCTAAAATAATTTTTTAATTATAGATGAAAATTTTATTACTAAAAAGATAATTATAAAACGTAAAGGACCATCAAAATAGGAAATTTGGATTGAAAAAATGTTTTTTTCTGGTGTTTTTATCAAATAACTCAATTTTAACTTTAAAAAGTTATACTTCAGCGTCATTTTTGCACGTTTTTTTTTTTACATTTCCAACAAAAATGACACATTTTTTCCCATTGAAAGAGAAATAAAATTTGGTTAAACTAAACGAAGCCATTTATCCCCACCTTTTAAAACAAGTTTTTTTCTGCGTTTATACGAAAATAATATCGCTTTCTCCTCGATTCCAGTGCAGAATTTGTAAATTTTTTTGCCAAGAGTCAAAAGTGATCGGTGGCGTGATCGGAGAGAATGATCGCTCCAATTTTCGCCTGCGGGGATCATTTTTCCACCCCACGGCAGCAAGACAAGGCGATCAAGTTTCGCTCTCGAGGGCGAGACGAGAACGCTCCTTACACTTTTCGGCGTCGTTTATTGCTTTCGCAATCGGCCATCGATCACGTCTCTCTCCGTGTGCAGGGCCTTAAGGAGGGCTGCGTTTGCGAAAGAAAGCACGTGTAATGCACTTGTTGTTCGAGGCGCGGATTTGATGGGATTTAGTTAATTTGCGAGCGGCACCGAATTGAATTTCCTGGAGACAGTAACGCGATTTACCTCTTATGGATGAGGGAGGAAAAAAAGAAAGAAGGGCGCGTCGGTTGGTGCAGTTCTTTGAAGATTCTTTTATCAAAACCGGTCAAATGAGACTTAAAATAAAAGTATGAAAAGCGCGCAGACTGCCCTCTAAAATATTGAAGCATATCCTAAAAAGACCTAAATTGCGCTATATTCAGTAACGTCTAAAGGTTTGCTGATCAAGTAACTTGACCTGATCCTTGAAAATCCTTAATTGTGAAAATTTCAGTATCGTCCCTTTAGGATCGCAAGTCTTGTAACTTGACCTTAATCCTTGAAAGTCCTCAAATATAAAAAATCAGAATCATGGCTAGGACTGCCCTCTAAAATTTAGTGGTGGAACCTAAAAAGTCCTTAATTACGCAAGATTCAGTAACGTCTCCAGGACTGCTGGTCAAGTAACTTGACCTGATCCTTGAAAATCCTTAATTGTTATAACATCAGTATCGTCCCTTTAGGATCGCTAGTCTAGTAACTTGACCTTAATCCTTGAAAGTCCTCAAATATAAAAAATCAGAATCATGGCTAGGACTGCCCTCTAAAATTTAGTGGTGGAACCTAAAAAGTCCTTAATTACGCAAGATTCAGTGACGTCTCCAGGACTGCTGGTCAAGTAACTTGACCTGATCCTTGAAAATCCTTAATTGTGAAAAAATCAGTATCGTCTCTAGGATGCTCTTCTAATTTTAAGCTACAGGTCCTTCAATTTCCACTGGAAATTTTCAGAAATTTTCCAGTCTGAAAAATAGCTTTTCTTTTCCTTTTCGTGCAGACTTGATGAGAAACCTGAAGTTGTATCTGCAATTTTAATTTTTTTCAGAATATTTTTTTTTCGACAACATTTTAAACAATTTATTTTTCTGTTCTTGTGCGCCAAATTTTTTAAATTTCTTATGTCTAAACTATGATAACAGATCTTTTTGTAAAATTTTATGCTTGGGACGGGGAGTGTGTTTTGGCGAGCGTGCGTTTTTCGGCCGTGGGGATTTGGCGGGATCAAGAGAAAGAGAGCGAGTGTATTAAGTCGGTGTGCTTTATTTTCCGTGCGCTGGGGTGCGGACAGGGTGGAGAATCCCAGAGATTATCAGCGATGTTGGTCGAAAAGAGGGGTGCAGAGAAGGAAAATACGAGAGAGTGAGCTCAAGTGATTCCATTAAGCGCTCCAACATTTATATAAACGGGCCGGTCTCTCTAGAGCCGGGGTATAAACTTATCTGGATTTTGCATGTTTTACTCGGGGCGCGGATTAAACGGCTGTTTATTTATACGTGCACACGCTGTGTTTGACTTTGCAAACAGCTCCCGAGCAATTAAAAGAGGGCGCAACATCTAAATTAATAAAGTTTCAAAAGTGATTAAACCGATGGGTACATTTTTTTTAGGAAAAAAGGGTTGATAACTTTTATTTTTTAAAATGAGTGGGATGTTTTCGGTTTCAACGTATAAAGCTCTATTTTGTTAGCAAAAGTTGATGGATTTTAAACTTTCAAAGTTTTCAAAGGAACAGCCAATAAAAAAAACTAAAAATTTCTTGGAAATCGTCAGGAAATTGAATTTTCCAAAATAAAAAAGGGAAATTAAAAAATCTTTTAAAGAAACTTACAAATTGACATGATCAAATTTTACGAATTTTTTTCAAAGATTTTGCCTTTAAAAGGTGAAATTATGAAGTTTGACTTTATTGAATGAAATTTATTAAAGATCTCGATTTTAAA